CTGGCGGGATAGAATTTTATGCGCTGGCAGGAAAAATTTATAGCTGCAATTAAATTTAACACGATTCAATGTGATTTAAACGGATTAACTGAATAGTTTTGCCCCATTCCAAAAGTTCGCTAAAGGGTAGGGAAAGCAAACATTATCGTCGATGGCTACAAGCGACTGAGAGTTATCTGAGCACATTGATATTTTATTGGTTTATCGTGGTTTATGTTTGACTAGTTTACGCCAATATCGGTATTTATGACTCGTTTCAGAGATGAGTAAGTTTTATACAAATCGTAAAACTGGGAATGTGAATGTGTTTAGCAAATCGTTGGCGAGAAGCTCGAACAAAGGAGTTGAACATAAATTTAGAAATCATTTTACTTAAATGAGTTGATGATGTGAAAAAGTTGTCGTTACAGATACTTCGTCGTTTGTTGACTTAGGCTTAGCAGTTAAACGTTCTGTCAGGACTAACAATATGATTATTTAAAGCCTTTTAAAGATGTTCAGTAATTTAATTGAAGGCCTACGATAAAATATATTCACGGTGAAACTGACAGGACATGTTAAAAAAGAAAAAACATTTTTCGCTTACAAATTCAAGCATTATTTCACTGATTCCCATTGGTATTGCTAGCGTTCTATCAGTTATACATGTAGCAGCTAATGCGATGCCCCAATGCCATTTATCTACTCAGTGCAATTGTTTTTGGCATGCCAACAAATCAACAGGCCTCCAGGGTGAACAAGTCCATGTCAAAGGCAACAACAAAAGTATTTTTTCCTTACCCATACCAAGTGTCTCTCATGTGCTTTAGTATGTCTTTTACCTGTCCTTATCTACAGGTATATGAGCACAAAAAGTGACAGAGATAGAGAGAGAGAGAGAGAGAGAGATTGAGAGAGCTCTACAAATGCATCCTAATGTAATCCATAATAAAAGAGTGCACACACCAACCCGACAACCTCTCATTCCCCTAGGTATCCCAGTAGCCCACTACAAAAGTTCTTTAATTAAGCTGTGTAGCAACAAACTTATCCTAGAGAAGAGGAGAGTTGACCGAGGCCAAGCTAGGAAATGTCTGCCATGTTGAGCCATGTCGGTGACAATCCCCCGACACTTTTGCATTTCCGTTACGTTTCTATTACCGTTACCATTGCCGTTGCTTTATCCGTAACCGTTACAATTTCTGTTGCTGTTGTTGCCATTGCTGCTGCCTTTGCTGTTTCCGCTTCAATTTCAATTCACTCTTAGTAGTAAAAACTCAATCCCAATTGGCTACCAAATATTTATTTCCACTACTCAAGCGTAATGTTTCGAGATTGTTGTCCATGTTTATAGCACCCGCCTGGCCACTGAGAAAAATCCATGTACGTTCTACTGTTAGATAAAGACACATTTATATGTGCATATGCATCTATGGCAGTGTGGCTCACTTCAATTACCAACAAAGGTGTCAGAACTTTCTCCCGCTGCACAGTGCCAAAAAACAGAGGGTATGCAGATAAAAAAGATTGGGAACGGCATGAAAGCTTTAACGACCGAGATATATTTATACTGAACAAATACAAATACAACAAAATTGGCAAAAATAGTCTTGAAGCACATTTAAGGCTCAATTGAGACTGAGTACAATATTTAACAAATACAAATAGGTTTACCTTGATATTCACATGCTATTCACAATACAGCATTTTATTTTCCTCAAACCTTATAAAAATGACACTTCTTTTCTCTCAGTGTATGCGCTACTCTTTACACCATATTGTGATATTTGTAAAACTATTTTTATCTAAAAACGTTTTCTTGTCGTTGCTTTACATTTTCTTCTACCTTTTCATTTATGGGTTTGCCCACAAAACTTTTTTTGCTGAACGCTTGATGCATCATTGACACACCGTTGCGCCCACACCAACCGAATGTGCCATCTCCCGCATGTGTCGTGATAACAAAAACAACAACAACAACAACAATAACAACAACAAATGAGTTCAGCTCGTATTCGTGTTACTGCATTGACGGCTACACAGGGATCCAGTGCCAAACGAATTGGGACGAATGCTGGTCGGGCCCCTGTCAAAACGGTGGCACATGTGTGGATGGTGTTGCCTACTACAATTGTACGTGTCCGGAAGGATTTTCTGGTAAGTGTACGCGGTTTATTTTTGCGCTATTCCAACATAGATACGCAGATAGTACAACAAATACGAGTAAGTACCAAAAAACTGCATAGCATGCTGAGCTGACTATGAGTTGAGGCTGGTTGGAGAGGGTTGAGTGTTTGGGATGAAAGGGCGTCGCACACCACGTGCAAAATGTATTTTTATTAAGCCAACCAAAAAGGATCCCTGGCCATCCATAGCAGCCACTCCAGCACGGAGTGCACACACACAGAGGGAGACGCCAAAGCGCTCGGTCAGGCTCCGATAGTGCCGTGCACGCCAAACGTATTTGTAAAATTTGCGGCAAGCCAAAAATATAGAAGAAAATACCGAACAAAACAAATAAAGAAAATAATGTACAATACTTTTTTTATTCTTATTTCCCGCTTTCGCTCACATGTGTCTATTATTTTTTTAACGCCCGAACAAGAAAGCGAAACGAAGAAACAGCCCTAAGAACCTAAGCCGAAGGGAAAAGAATTCAACCACGACAAAGACGAAGTTTAGTTACTCTCCCAGTGATTAATGACAAATAGTGGTATACGTGTTGTGCGAGACATAAAGTACTTATTTTAAATTTCTTTACATTTCACAACTATTCATTTTGACGATATGAACTTCGTAACTCACTGATTTACATAGGCAATTACCCTATACAAAACTTAGAGTACATTAATAGAGACAAAAGTTTTCTGACCTAGTCTTCTACACATTCGCTAAGAAAATGTGAAACTGCAGTGTGCAAATGGTTTTGGGAGGTGTCTCGCAGGATATTAAAGGGGTGCGATGAGGGCAAGCCAACTTTAATGTTGTCTATTGTGGTAGTCAATGTTGGGTGTTTAGCTTGCCACTTGCTAATTTTAATTTGTAGTGTGGGTGAATGTGGCGAATGTGTGTCCATATGTATGTGTATGTGTGTGTGTGCGGAAGTCTCAGCATGAATGTATCTAATGTTCATCCTTTGGCTTCGTGTATTTGCCGTCTGTAAAGTACATGCATATAAGCACATTTACTTTTGCTACGTGTGTGCAGCACTTAGTGAGGTCTGTCCGTGCATATGTGTGTGTGGGTGTTTGTGTTTAGGAAGTGTCTTACAGTTGACTTTATAAAATTTGTGAAATATATAGCCCTCGTGTAGGTGCTATATGAATTACCCTTCAACGCCAACTAATTCCAAATACAAATTGCTACAAATTTGTGGCCTAAAGTTGCCAGTACCAAAAGCTTATAGTTTTTCTTAGAAGTGTGGAAATGAGAGATAAATAATTGACTCATAGTTTGGACTAGTAGTTGACTATGTCTAACTATGAACATTTTCAAATGGAGCTTTACACAATTTAAATTGTTGGATACAACAAGAGCCCCTTTATATGTGGTATGATTTTGTGCCAAGGATAAAGTTAGAAATCAGTGTTATATTCCATTAGTAAGCGAGCTTTCCATTTTCAGTTTCGACAATTAAGCATCTGAAAAAATCGCATTTTAGTATTTATGCAGTAATTATCTTTAATATTATGTACCCTAAAGTTTTTACTTATTCCGGAGCATTACTCATACAAACTGATTGTCGCCATTGTGGCGCTTCCTATTTATTTTTCTTTTTTTAATTTTTCCCACAACACAACAATTGCATTAAATTAGCATAAATAAAACAGTAGCAAAGCAGAGAGAGTGGTCAAGTCGAGAGTGGCTGACTGCGATATATCCTGTAGGTTAGCTTAAAGGAAGCTTCATCTCTAGCTTGTACCGGCAGACAGACGGATACATGACGACACGGCTGTGCTCGTTTTTCTGATCAATATATATAATTTATTAGAGTTCAGACATGCTGCATTTTGTAGTTTATAAGTATTTTCAAAACAGTATTATTCGTAAATTTACTAAAATAAATAAAATTGCATAAATCACTGCAAATGAAATCAACACTTAACAAGCAAAGCTCGAAAAAATTAATATGCCTTATTTCAATTCACTTCCTTCTACTATAGTTAAAAAGTTATTCGATTTTATCAAAAGTTAACAAAGTTAAAAACATATTGCTTTAATTAGATACATAATGTTCAGGTTATCTTTAATCTAAGAATTGCTTCTGTCAGTGCAAAGACAAAGTAATAATGCTGTTCCGTAAGACTTATGGAAATATATCCAATAATGCAGACTGTTACATTTGGTAGAGATTTTGAGTGGATTAAGCATAAAAAATACTGCAAAACCAGAACTAAGCATCAGCTTTGAAAGCTTTGAAATAAAAGAGCTAAATAGGTGAATAAATTCTGCGCACAAATGAAATATATGAAAAAATATGCTTTCTGTACACAAAGCCACAAAAAACACGTAAAAAAATAGATTTTTTTTTTGCCAAAAGTGCGAAACAGCAGGAAATGAAGCAATAAACTATTCAAAAATGTTATAGGATATTTAAGAATGCCCGACTTGGTAACACTCTGTACCAAGTTCAAAATAAGATTTCATTTCAACTTGGGAAAAATAGAAACGTTAAGTTCTGATTAAGAATATATAAACGCAATGAAGTTGCAGATGTGCTCATTTAAAATAATTATTTAATGAGTAGAGGGTACATTAAAAGTGCTGCATGCCGGCATAATTGCTGCAGCCAGCTGCACAAACATTCTAATTAATATTATAACCGCCTCGCGTTGTTTTTCTTGTTTCTTACCCTTTTGAAGTGCATTTGCCTTTCAGCTGCATTTCACTATTTCGCGTTAGTCGTTTGTACCCTTTGAGGTGGTCATCACTGGCAACAACCAACCCTAGGTTCAAGAACCCACAACCACCATTCTACCCCAAAAAGTAGACTATGCTTTTTTTGTTTGTGTCCCACTTACCAAATATCCTGGTTTCTATCACAACGAGAAATGGTTACAGCTAAACCAAATTAATGCATTGTTTGCTTTGCTTTCTTTTGATAGGTTCTGGTTTGGGTTTATCTAATTGCTATGCCTATAGGTATTCAGGTTAATTATGAGGATCCCTTGAGTGCTGAAATGTAAGGAATATAAAATCAATAATTGAATTGAATAAAATACTGAAAAAATGTAAATGAGAAAGAGTAAAATACGCAAATTAAATGCTTACTTATCTGCATAGAATATTATGCACGCCTTGTTAGTCAAAATGTGACCAACAACAATACAATATGCTGCTCATTGCAGAACTCTAATGGCAAACAATCTAACAATGGTGCAATTCTCAGATGCATAACCTTGCTCCCTTTGCCAGAAACACATACACACACACAGTGCCTTTTATCATGAGAAAAGGCATCTCCTTGACTGCCTTTATACAATCATTGCAGTCAGCACAGCATTTGAGAGAGGGAGCCAAAAAGCTGAGGGCATTCAGCGCGAAAACAATGCAAATTGCAGTTGGGAGCCATTGCCAGGCCTATTCACATTGAAATTCGCATTTTACATTCATGCAAAAGAAAGTGCCACAAATCAACAATAAAGAATGCTCTTGACAACAACTGCTCGGCTTAAACATACTCAGTACACACTTGTACCATGAGAAGTATATAGAAAGTTGGATATCCTTTAAATCACACAAAATTGAATCCTTCTTATAATTCTTAAGCTGCTTAAGTTCGTTGTCATTGAGAATTGAACTTCAGTTCACATAAATTGTCAATACCAGTCAACACTCCTTATTTGACCGCATATACCGCTTTCACTCAGATATCGACTGGGTATTAAAATGAAAATGCATTCAAATTGCAGCAAGTCAATTTATATGTACTTTTTAACGTCTGCTTTACCTTTTGCTTAACTTCACTTCAATTGTATGTTTTTACCATACATTTTCGGTGCAGCTTTTTATATGTTTGCACTCTTATCATCAGGTGAATATGAATATGAAAATATGATTGGAAATTCAAGTGAATGTAGGCCCCACTCCACCCTATATTTCTCCATATTTCTGTTCCTCGTATGCATTTTAACGTATTCATTGCACATTCATTCAATCAAACATGCATTTGGCTCAGCTGCTCGTTCATTCATGCCTTCATTTCGCTTACCTAAAGATATTTGTCTTTCTGGCAAGAATTTATCTCATTTTTTTTTTTATTTGATTCTTTTTGTGCTATTCGGCGTTGCCTTTTTTCAATTTTTGCCTTACCGGCGACAGCTTCAAGCGATTGCTCCATTTTTACTTTTCATTTTCTCCCCACATTTCCTCTTTATTCATAACCATGAAACGAATACTATTTGGGACATTTAAATCGCATCGTTACCAGTTCAACTTTTAAAGTTGCCAGTGGGTGATTTATCGAGGGATTTGACCAAAAAAACAAATCGAAATTCATTGAATTTCACGTGGCTCAGCGATTTGCATAAATTTTTTATTTCATTTGCTCAATGTGCGTTAGAAATTTGGTCAGAACGAGAGAGAAGGACGGTATTACTGGTGTCCAATATTTAAATACATTTGTGGCTATCCAATTGTGCCCATTTTCAAACTAATCAATTGCCCTAAGGAGATTTAATTTTGCTTAACACGCTGCTATTGTTATTATTATTTAAAAATACGTGTGTGGCATAATATTAAATATTTAAATTATAGCGTATTGATTTTACAATGAAAACGTTCAGGTTTGTTGAACCCTTGCTGTGCAGTTTTTCACACATTTTACACTTTTATCAGTGTTTGTGTGTAGGCTATTATGGTTTTGAAATTAGCCATAGAAGCGAAAATGACATTTTAAATGCATTTTCTCATGATTTAATAGGTTAATTGCAAAATATGCGTTAATGTATAGTAAAAGTGTGCGTAATTGATATTTTCACGGGTGAATTTTCACTTTAAATTTTCCCTATATTATTTTGAAAAAGAAAAGGTGCGACAAAAATACCAATAACCTACCTATGTCGATGGAGATTATGAATATTAATTAGGGATTACATATTAAATATTACTAAAATAACAATTTATAATAAATTAATGGCGAAACTAAAATTAATTAAACCGGTGATTAAAAAACAGATATCTGAAACTATTGCATTAATTACCAATACCCGCCCACAAAGCTGCATACTTACAACTTAGTTGCAACACCCTCAAATCGACGTCGGGTAGGTAACTTAGATAAATAGAAAGAAATTGAAAGAAAATTAGAGAGCGTTAATAAGACCAAGATAGATAACCGTGCAAGGCTCATCATGTCTGCTGAAATGCGATTTTCTCACTCATACAAATGTATATGCCCATTGAAGTTCAACACAATGCTTTCTAATTTTACGCAAACTTGCAGGCGAGCGATTTAAAATGTTTCACATGTATTTCTATGAAAATGATGGAGAAGCTATCTCAATTCTTTAGAAATGGTCTGGCAAGAGAAAACCTTAAGAAAGCAAATAAGAGCGCTCAATCAATCAGTTGCAACCGACTTCTCAGAAATCTGCTGCCTGTGTCATACCAGGAAATGAGGCTCCTTGATTAAGTTTAGCGACACGATTCGTGACACATTCCTCCCAATCTCTGAAGAAGGTGAATTTCCCAAATCTGAAATCTCGAACTAGTCTCATAAGAAAAAGTGGACAATGCAAGGAAACCAATGAACTCTATCTCCGTTTGTGAACAGTGTGTGCGAAAGGGAAACGAAATCCGAACTGGAGTCTACATTACCAAATGCAATTAATTAAAAGCTTTTAAGCACTGGCATATACGTATGCACCTATGAAGCTTACAGTAAATGCTGCGATTGCAGTGAAAATTAGTAGCTCCCCAGGACTCTTTGGCCTCAATTGTCATTGTCCTGGCCAGGCTTGGGGACTTCCAGCTGATGCCTTTCGTTGGCGCAGCGAAAAAGTGCAATTGAAAGCGCAACAATGCGCACCACAACACATTGAAGTGGCGCAGTTGGGTGATCCACTCTCGCCCCCTCTGCATTCCTACCCAGCCCAACTCAACCAAACTAAAGGATATGCGAATTGGAATTGCTTGGCTCTGCACGCTGACTAAGTGACATACTTGAATTGCTTTAGTAGCAGGATTCAACATGGGTTGCATTTGGGGTGCAGCTTGCATTTGATTTTTCCTGATTAGTTTCCACAGCATTCACAGATGAGCTAAAGTGCATTTCATTGCTCACTGTCACATAGAGTATTTTCAACCAAATCCGAGCTATGAGAACAGATTGGCATCGCCTGGATTAAGTGCGAATATAAATTGCGTGGAAGACATCGAAAGCTAGCAATCGTATAAATTGTGATATTTTTTTTCTATAGCACGCAACTATGGCAGTGCCTATTAGAATTTGTTTATTCTTATGTGAGCTGATTAAATAAAATTAGGGAATGTATTTGAAGTTTGCTTTTAGAATTTCTAAACAAATACAATAACTATTTATATTATTTTTTTAATGCTGTGCTAAAAATATTTTTAAAAAATTGTTTGTATACATTTGGAAACATTAAAGCGTAGCCACAACCCTTGGCAATATATAAATGCATATTGGCATCATTGCATAGAATTTTTAGTTTCTAAAAAAAATATTATTTCCTAGTTGCTAGAATTGAATTTAATAATTATAACGAAATTAGAATTTTTGTTAGCTACGCTCGCTTTCAAAGTATTCATAGCTGTTCACTCATTCATTTATTTATATGCATTTATTCTTTCGTTTTTTGCACTCACCAACACATCCACACACACACACACACACACACACACGTTCTCATGAACAAAGAACTGAGCCAAGCTTAAAATGCAAACGAAATGAAAATTAAATTCAACTCATGCCATATATATTCCCTGTACCCATTGAAAAATTCTGAAATGGGTATAGTAAAATCATGAGAATGTATGAAGCAGGCAGAGGGAGGGAGTCAACATTTAATTGTCCAGATTGATGAATCAAGTTAGTTCAGTCATAAAACGGATTTTCTGGTTTATCAAATAGTAATATTATTTTTTCAGAGCTGGGTATATCGTAGTCAAAAACCCTATTTGTATTTATATTGTTTGTTTTATTTTTGTTAACGATGCTGTGTTCTAAATGCATATATGAAGCAGTCTCAATTCACCCATTGCCCTCTCTTGTTGTCGACGCCCAAAGCATAAGTAACAAGCAAATAAGAATCACAAAATGTGCATATATAAAATTCAAATTTAAATTTGTGCATCGACTATAAACACAACCTGGCTAACGAGAGGAGTTTCAAAATCTGCTGGAAGGGACATGAAAACTCTTTGCAGTTTATTCTAATTGCGACATGGGTGCAAACAAATGTTTGTACCTTGTTGAACATATGTTTATAGTTCGTTGGCAACAACTACAAAGAAAAACAAGTGCAAGTCAGGGTGAAAGCTGAAGCGAATTAAAAACCAGTAGCAACAGCAACAGCTGTAGCCAGTTTCTGCAAAGGAAATAAGAAAGTGGAAGGTAAATGAAAAAATGTTCACTACTGAGTAGATAACCCTTACTTATATCCCTATAAAAATACTAAAAGAAAGATATGTATCGTCATTAGGTAATCTATATAAGAGATTATTAGAAATTATTGCTTTAGATTACATACCTTAAAAAGCATTAATAAATCATTCTATAAGCACAAAACCTTAGATAAATTCTGAAATATTCTTCCATTTAACCATTTGGTAAACCAAAATTCATTTCTTCCTCTGTCACTTCCACAATTCACAATAACTACCAATTTCATGATTTCATTCGTCTCAATTGTTGTCTCGCCTGTCACTTTGCAAATCCCACGCACATTTATCAATATTTTAGCATGTCTGAAGCGCTTCGTCATACTAAATTCAATATTGAAGTGCTTTTTGGCCCTATTGGCAAAATCAAATTTTGATTAATGTTGCATTTCAAATATTTAGACATTCACTGACAAAAAAAAGATAAAATGGGAAACAAAGGGCACAAGCAAAATTCGGCCGACGATTGTATTATAAATTGTGCTTTCAAAACAAAAAGTGAGACAAAAAATACAAAAAAAAAATCAACAAAAAAATACATAAAACCCTAC